TTGGACAACTTAGAAAAACTGGTAGCTGAACAGCGAGGTGCCCCACCTCTACACCACAATACTAACTCCATACCCCATCCTCTAAACACCAATATCACATTGGAACCTTATCCCGCTGGTTTCAAAATTTCTCAGCTCGAGACATACGATGGGACAAAAGACCCCAATGATCACCTCCATGCCTTCTATTCTTGTATGCAAGCTCAGAACGCCTCTGATGCATTAATGTGTAAGATCTTTCCCTCCACTCTCCGTGGCAATGCCCGAACTTGGTACTATAGCTTGCCCCCAAGATCTATTAGCTCCTATTCAGAAATGACATCTACTTTTGCCACAAAGTTTTCTAGTAGACGGTTGATCAGGAAAACTACTTTTGAGCTGATGCGAGCTAAACAAAGGGATGGAGAATCTCTGAAGAATTACATGAGTAGATTCAACAATGCTGTGTTGGAAGTTAGTTCTTTCAACCAAGCTGTGGGAATTGCAGCTATGATCTCAGGTCTTAACCATGAGAGATTCAAAGATAGTTTGATCAAGCATCCTGCTACAATCTTTAACGAGGTGAATGATAGATCTCTTAAATTCATAACTGTTGAAGAATATGCCTTGTCGCAGAAGCCAGCTCCTCTTAAGAACCAAAACCCAGACTAGAGAGATGAGAATCAGAGCAAGAAACGGATGAGGACAGTACAGAACCGAGGTCCGATGTTGACCTCCACACCGAGATTCGGAAGGCTGAACTCAGCACCCCCACAACAATCTGCAGGTAAACCTCCAGTTACTTGGACCCCTTTTAATTTGCCGAGATCACAAATTTTCATGCAGATTAAGAATAAGATGGACTTAAGGCATCTAGGCCCAATGAAAACTGCTGTTGCTAGCCGAGATCATAATAGATATTGTGATTTTCATCAAGATCATGGTCACACAACAAAGCAATGCAACAGTCTGAGGTCTGAATTTGAAAGTCTAGCTAAGAAAGGAATGTTGAATGAGTACATTCAGAGAGCTGAACAGCCAAGATTTGTCAGAGAACAGGGGGTCACAGCCACAAGGAGCTCGTAATCCACCAAACAGGCAAGGCGTGGGATATCAGCAAGCCCCACCTCCGTTCCCACCACCAGCTAGAATTATACATATGATTACGGGAGGCCTAGAAGCAAGAGGACTGAGCTCTAAATAGCGAAAGTTGTATGTCAGAGAGTTCCTAGAGTTTGGAATATCAATAACTTGAAAAAATTTTACCCCTAATAAACTTCTTCAAGTGACTTATGTCTCACTGTCCTATATTTATTACTTCTTGATTATCGAGATTCGTTTTACGTCCTATTCTATATATCCGAGGTCAATTTGTTAATGAACTTCATTTTTATTAATGAAAGTCACTTCGTATCTGAAGTGCTTTACTTCTTTTTTTTATTTAAAGTGCTTTACTTCTTTTTAGTTTATCTGAAGTGCTTTACTTCTTTTTAGTTCATCTCTAAAGTGATTTACTTCTTTTTATTTCGTCTCTGACATGATTTACTTCCCCTCAAGACATATCCGAACTAGTCTCAGTTCTTATATTAATATAAAACAACAAAAATGTAAAGTAAACATCGTACATGGTGTCGAAAACAAAACTGTCATTTAAATTCAATCATGAACATATTACAACAGATTATTTTACTATTATTACAACAAAAATATCAAAGGAAAATTAAAAAACAAAAATATTTATTCCTCTGTTGAAGGAGGCGACTGAACTGGCTGCTGCTCAGCTGGAAGAGGTGGCTGTGTTGGCGGCTGCTCATCTGGTAGAGGAGGCTGCTCATCGTCAGAAGGAACTGGATGAATCTCTACCTCTAGAGCTGGTTGGCTCTCATCCACTTCAGTTCCTTCCACTCCAGCCCCCACTTCATCTCCCTCTACCTCTGCCTCTTCTTCTTCCACTGTAACGAACTTGAAGTCAAAATTTGGAGGGAAAACAATGCGTCCGTCTGCATCATGATCCCACCTCAGTTTGATCTGAGGACAAAAGTCTGCTGACATGCTCTCATCATTCTTCTCCACTCCCTCTTCTTGCTCACCGAAGGTGATCTTTGTAATATCCACTTCGGGATACTCAGCCTTCACCTTTTTTCTGCAATCTGTGAATGCGAGGATGGCAGTTGGCAGCCGGTAGAGGTTGACAATGCTGTCAAATGAGCTGGAGCTGACGAAGTTGCTGATGCGCTCCTCCATCCCATTGTGCACCAGCAGCTGCACATTCTTCTTCAGCTCCATATAAGCCTCCTTCGTCAGCCTTATTTCCTTCTCCTGAGCCTTACACTCGCTTTAAGAGATTTTTCATTTACTCTCTTCAAAGATGAGCTTGGTACTCAAGGAAGCCCTCTCTTGCTCTAGCCGCTTCATTGTTGGAACCACCTCGTCCAACGCCTTTTGCATTTCCTTATTCTTCTTCTCCAACTCCTCCTTCTCCTTTTACAGTTGGTCACACTGCCTTTGCAAGAGGGAGCGCTCCTTCACACTCTCCATAAACTCCTGGGCTAGACCATTCACCAAGCTCGCGCTTTGCAATTCAAAGCAAAAGTTAAAGAAAAAAAAAAACAAAAAACAAACACATCAACAACTACAAGTAAATAAACTTAACATACCTCCAAAACATGCTTCACCACTGAAGCCCCACAGTACCTCAGAGCCTTGTCCCGTGCGTAACGTTTATCCACTTCAGGGAAGGTGGCATTGATAAATCTCCTAGCCCCCGTCATGTTCTTTGCCTCAAACAGACTGCTTTGAAAGGACAAAGGGGGAACAAGGCCCTTCCCCTTGCCAGGAACTCGTACCTCAGCCCCCTCTTCAAATTCCCTAAGCTCAGGGTCGAGCTCAACAGGAGGAGGCTGAGGCACAAACTGGGGAACTTCGCTTCCCCTCTCCTCTTCCTCTCCTCTTCCTCCACCACCATTTTCTTCCTCTGTAGTGCCCCTCCTTCCTCCCTACTCTTCCTCTTCAACTCCAGCCTTGGCACCTCCTCCTCCACCCTGGCTAAAGTACTGGGCACTACCTCCCTTCCAACTCCTCCCTCATCCACTTACTTGGTTGAAGTCTTTGACTTTTTCCTTGGCTTCTTGGGGATGGCCACTCCTTTAGCAACGCTAAAAAATTTGTCCATTTCAACTGCAAAACAAGAGAACACAATATCAATCACACCGCTCTATACTCTACATTAAAATTTACCATATAAAATCTAAACAAACCTTCACTTAGAGTGCTTGGCCCATAGAGCTCAGCAACTTCTATGCATTCTGCGTTGGTGAGGTACGTGATGTTTATTAAATTCCCCCCTTCCCTCACCAACTTCCCCACCTCTTCCTCCTCATCCTCATTTAAACTAAATTTATTCTGGTTGGCTCTCTTAGCCTTCTAGGAAGACAACATTTCTACCTCAGCATCCCCCTCTCCCACTCCGTATCATCTACAAAGAAAATTTTTTCCTTCCATCATTTAATGGATGAAGGACTCGTAGTAAATAACGCCCTACTCTCCTTATTTGCTACCCTTGGGGTGAAATAGTACCACCCCTTATCTTTCCTACTACTCCCCTTTAAAACAAAAAAAATACTTAAACATATTTACAGTTGGCACAGTAATCCCTTGAGCTCGACAATAAACTAAAAATCCTATTATTACCCTCATAGTGTTGGGGACTAATTGTGTCAACCCTATGTTGTAATCTAAGAGAAGACCCACTAGCAACTCAGGAATTGGAAACCTAAGCCCGGCTACCAAATAATAGGCATACACAGGCATCCAATGATCCCAAGGAGAAGAACACGCCCTCTCCTCTACCCTAACTGGCCTAATTAACACTCGGGAAGAGATCTCATAACTCTCCACCAAATACCCTAGGCTATCCCTGGTCCCGAGCTCAGACTCATTGTTTTACCTCATCTACGATATCTGCATCTACATCATAGCATCTCTCTTTCCTACCCTCTACTTCTACCACAGTTATGGGTACACTATCTACCCCAACCCCAACTACCTCACCTCCTCCTACTCCCTCCATTGTCCTTTCCGAACTAGATGGCCTACTATCTGAGTCTATCCCACCGTACTCCAGAGGCATTACCTCACTTCCTACAACACTTACTGTTTCTTTCGAAGACATCTCTTCAATTTCTGCATGAAGTAGGAGGAGGAATGAAGTCAGGACCCCCTTAAAAAAAAAAAAAAAGGAGGAAAATATAAAGCACACCCAATAACATTCTCACTCCCAACCTTAACTTCTTTCAGAGGACTCAAAATAAAAAACAGAAAGGGAGAAAGGAGAGTGACTCTTCGTTAAAATCAAAATCAAAGAATCTTATACATTACCTGATTTCGGTTTTGAAAACTTGCTATAGAAATCCACAAAAGATGCAACAGCTCAGGCGCAAGAAAAACACAAAAGAGTTTTCACAGAAATTTTGCAGAAAATATAACGAAAGTAAAGTTCTTTTTACTGAAAAATGGCTATTTATACCTCAAGGCAAAAATAAATCTCAACGGCTGGGATTAGTTTAATCTTACGGTCCTTATTCACGCCGTTTTGAATTCAACTGTCTAACCCTAATGGGAGTTGTTTGAATTCGATGGTTCATTTCCCACTTCCGTTTGTCTGACTATCACAGCTACCTTTTTAAGCCCGTATTAATTGTACACGTCTCTCAACAGACAGCTGTCATGTCACACAATAATCCCACGTCAGACTTTATAAACGGGCTCACTTAAGCCCACCTCAACACTTCTGTTCACTTTCACAATTATATTTTTACCTTACAAGTGTTTCACTTTGGCTTAGGCCATTGTGACTACTTATCACATATTGTACTTCGACTCCGACCACTATAACTCCGGTCATTACTTTTTACTTCGGCTCTGACCACTATGACTCTGGTCATTATTTTTTATTACAGCTCCGGCCACTATGACTCCAGTCATTATTTTTTATTACGGCTCCATCCACGATGACTTCGGTCATTACTTTTTATTACAGTTCCGGCCACTATGACTATGGTCATTACTTTTTATTCAGCCCCAGCCACTATAACTCCTGTCATTACCTTTTATTATGGCTCCGGCCACATTGACTCCGGTCATTATTTTTACCACGGCTACGGCCACAATCATTCCAATCACATTTTATTTTGGGCTTGGCCAACATGACCCCCTGTCACACACTTCACTATTAGCTATGGCCAAACATGAATTTGGGTTATAGATTTTTATTTTTATTTTTACTTTTGCTTCTGTAACTCATCGTTAATATTTTTGTCCCACTTCCTTTCTGTTTATGCACTACTCTTATTATCTCTAATAACATCATTCACAAGTGAATGACTTCGAAGGGGAAATAGTATAAGGATAGGTCCGAGGTCTTTATCCTCGGACGTACTGTAACAGTTCCTTAATTAGGGATATCAACGAGGCCCCGCAGGGCCGAGGAGTGCCTCCCCATCCCCGTCCCCGCGAATGGCGGGGACAGGGATCCCCGCGGGGTTTTTTGACGAGAGGCAGATTTTGCCCCCCGTCCCCGTTCCCCGTGGGGATCCCCATTCCCCATCAATTAATAACAAAGTATATATTTTTTGCATCAAACATAAATAAAAATTAATTTAACACAAATAATTAAATCAATAAAATTATTCCGAATAGAGATTAATCCAACATAAAACAACATGTTGCAAACATAAATTGTTCTAAATATACAGAGAAATTAATCCAACATAAAGTAACATACTTGTTCCAAATATAGGCAAAAATCAACCCAACATAAATAAAATAACTAAACTAAACCAACATTCAGCAAAAAGGAAAGTAGCCAAGAACCAACTCAAAACACTTTAGCTCTCAAAATCTACAATTGCTCATAAAAAGACCTACAATACAATTAGTAAATACAATTAGTAAATACTTTATGTTAACATATTTATAAAAAAAACTGTTTATACCAATTATGTGGTGGTGGAGCTTGCAATGATCCCTCAGCACTTTGCTCTTGTGTGTTAGATATTTATCACCTAAAAATAAATTTAAAAAAAAAAACAATTATGCTTTTCCATTGAAATATAAAATAAATTTTCATACCAAATAAGTCATTATAAAATAAACTTTAAATTTTTCTATATTATATGTATATCAATATATGGCTATATGTAAAAAAATTAACTAGGCAATTCACTAATGTAAACGACTATAAGCAGCCATTAAATCTAGTAAATTTTAGCAAATCCAAACTTTTTCTATGTTAATTCAACCATAATCAAATTATTAAACTTCTTACCGTTGGATGCCAAGAGGGAGTGCAAGCAGAGAGGGAGTCCGGCACAACACAAGGCAACAAGCAGAGAGCAAGTTCGGCACAGTGCAGCAAGCAGAGAGCAAGTCTGGCGTAGTACAGCAAGTAGAGAAGGGTCCAGCACAGTGCAGTAAGTAGAGAGCAAGTCCAGCACAGTGCAGCAAGCAGAGAAGGAGTCCGGCACAAGCAACAAGTCCGGCACAATGCAGCAAGCAGAGAGCAAGTTCGGCACAGTGCAGCAAGCAGAGAGCAAGTTCGGCACAGTGCAGCAAGCAGAGAGCAAGTTCGGCACAATGCAGCAAGCAGGGAAGGAGTCCGGCACAGTGCAGCAAGTCCGACACAGTGCAGCAAGTAGAGAGCAAGTTCGGCACAATCCAGCAAGTAGAAAGGGAGTCCAGCAGAGGCAGCAAGTCCAGCACAGTGCAGCAAGCAGCAGAGAGCAAGTCCGGCAGAGGCAGCAAGCAGCAGAGAGCAAGTCTGGCAGAGGCAACAAGCAGCAGAGGCAGCAAGCAGCAGAGAGCAAGTCCGGCAGAGGCAGCAAGTAGAGAGGGAGTTCGGCATAGGCAGCAAGCGCAGAGACAAAGTTCAGCAGTCAGCAGGATGAACTCCAACAGATCTGCAGGCTGCAGCTAACAGCTTTGACAACAGCTCTAGGAGCAGATTTGTAACAGCTCCAGCAGCATATTTGTAGCAGCTCCAACAGCAAATTTGTAGTAGATCTGTAGCAACAAGAAAGGGAGAGGAAGGTTGAAGGTGAGGTGAGACTTGAGAGCTTGATTGTCCGACTGAAACCAAGAGTGAGTGAGGGGCTGTGGCTGCGTGTGTGAGGAGGAAAGGGAGGGGAAATGAATAAAGTTATGAAATTAGGGTTGGAAGGGGGATTAATTAGGGTTGGAACTTGTAAGGACTAAGGAGGATGCTGGATTGTTGGGTTGGCCGGATGGATCATGGGTTGGCCGGTTGGGTTGGATATTTGGGTTGGGTTGGATTAGGTTGGGTTGGGTTTAGTAAAATTTAATTTTTATTGAATTGAGTTTGGATTAGATTTAGGTTTTATTTTAAATATTAAATTAAATTTAAAATATATTTTTTTAATTTTTCGCGGGGATGGGGATCCCCGTGGGGCCCCGCGAGGCGAGAAAAATTTCCCGCGAAATTTTACGGGGAGAAAATGTCCCCCATCCCCGCCCCGTCCCCGTGACGGGATCCCCGCGGGGCCCCATGGGAATCAGGGGAAATTGCCACCCCTATCCTTAATAGCCGAAATGAAGTTAAATCCAGCACTTCCAGTCAAACGGTTGCATGATAAATACAGTGGGCATCCCCACACATGATTTATCACATAGTTCCCCAGTCCCGAATTTGTCACCAATCCCGAGTTTATCTCTTCAAGGGACACGTCATACTCTAATCATCCTGCTAAGCAAGCCACGTGGATACCTCACGAAGGCTTATAAATACCCCCAGGGGCCACATCAAAAAGGTAATTGCAACCTTCCTAAAGCTCCTTTTTCATTAGTCCAGAGATAGACCCAATTATTGCTGACTTAAGTATCGGAGTGTCTACCCCGAAAATCCACCTCGAGGCTTTGCAGGTTCATCTGAAGTGAAGACGCAGACTGAAGAAGAATCTCTGATTTGGTGCAATTACAAAGATGCTTTAATACATTGAATAAAGTGCAATTTAGGATGAGTGTTACACGTCTCAAAACTTTCTGGTAAAAATCAAAACTAGACTACACTACCCGCCAAAAGAACTAAGAGAAAAAATCTAGGAAACCCTCCATATAAAATTGTCAATTGTGCGCATCCGACATCCATTCTGAAAACATATAAAAAAACTCAGTATAAAACTGTCCATGATACAAACCCACGTTCTGTAGATGTATCATCGTCGTCCATTTAATCACATGAATTCCTTTTGCGTATGCTTTGATTTGGAATAATAGTAAGAGTAGAAATGGAAGTATAGTGTAGAAAGAAGTAGGTTCCACGCGTCAGCTGGTTGTATTTATCTGTCAGCAAGTGCATCATGGAGTCTAGCCAAATTGCACGAACGGCAGCTGCAATAGCAGAAATGAAAGATTTCAATAAGCATGCAAGAATTTACATGAATGCCCAAGATTGTGTCATGTATGTCTATAGCTTATTCTTGGCAAATGGCAAACCAGCAGATGGACTAAACATCATAAAAACCTATAAAAAGATGCCACGATGACCATAGATTAGGTGAAAAGATAGTTAGCAATGCTGTACAGAGATAATTGCAGTTGCAAAAACATCCCAAAAGTATATGAATAGAATAACTTTAAGGAATACCAATTCACTTACATAGTACCTACAGGTCAGCCAAGGAAAATAACTCAATGCGACACTATTTCCACATTGTGTGATCATATATATCTTTTAATGTGGATTTGATGGTACTGTGTGTAGGCTTACCAATTTTCATAGACAGGAACCATTCTCACTTGCAGCTTGTGTTGATTTGCTAAAACAAAATGACGAGTCTAACCAGCCAGATTCTCTTGCTCGTTCAATGTAATGCAGATATTGTTTCTCAGCATCAGGTACGTCCAGAGCCAAATCATCAAGAGATTCAGCTACCCTTCCAAAACCCTTTGTCATCTGATACATGGTTATAAGTCCTGAGTCAAAACACTCTTTAAGTAAACCCCAGAGTCTTTCATTCTTCCTCTCCATAACTATCACCAGTGCTTTCTTAACAACCTCATGGTGGAAAAATGGCATGCCTAACTCCTTTATACAACGACAAGCTTCTCTAATTTCACCTCCAGATTCATACTCCTCTAGAAGCTTGGCAATTTTTTCTTTGACATCATCAACTGCCCATCCAGGCCTGCTGCTTCCACTACCACCACCCCAACACCTTAAGATCCTTTCCCCAGAAAGCCGAGCCTTTAGTAAGGACTTTGCCATTTGAAGCACTTTGCCTCCAATCGACTCCAGCCCCAAAAAGTAGCTCCCAATCTCTTCCAAGTGCTGTGGAGCCAAGACTTCATCCACCACTGATCTAGCCAAAAACATGGCAAGATCCTCAACAACAACAGGATTATCTAGAGCAGTGTCATCTGCAGATTCTATCAACATCACAAACCCATTTGCAACATCATCCGAAGGGAAACATAAAGACAACAACAAAACAGAAGCCATTTCTTT